CCTGCTGAGATACTTGTCAATACACAGCATACTTCTGTCCTAAGACAGAACGTAATGTAAAACCTTGTTAGTTGACACACAATTCCAATAAATCCTGTAAACGCTTCAAGAGAAAACCAAGTTGTTGATTGCAATACAAGCTTCATAAAAGCATCTCACACTTTGTTATGTCTGAAGGCATTACCCTAGGCAGAATATTAAACAAAATGTGAGTTATCCTGGTAAGCTGAAGCATGTGGGCAAACCCGGAGTTGTTTGAAAGGACAGAATATCTATAATACACATTTCTTAAATTGACTGAGAATCATTTTAGTGTAGTTAATGAACTTTGAAAGGCAGGAAATCTGTAATGATAGCTATATAGACAAAATATTTTTTCCCTGCTTGTAGATACCTGAAACTCTTCACCTTCCTTCCTCTTGAGGAGATTGACCACATCATGGAAATGCACGCTAAAGAACCTGAAAAATGGGGCCCTCAGAAACGACTTGCTGCAGAAGTAACCAAGCTTGTTCATGGTAGAGAAGGGCTAGAATCTGCTAAGAGGTGAAGTTTGATTTGTTGAGCAGTTTTCTTTCAGATTTATTCAATGGTAATTATCTGTAGCTTTTCAGGGACTATTTTCACCTGGTCTGTTGTTGCTCAGCTGTGAAGAGAGAAAAATGTAGTAATTATGTAGACTTAAAAATACATTAATATAAAAATAATTGCAGTGCAGTGGGTTATGATAAAAAAAATGGGATGTACTTTAAGTAGTTCTGTGACTGTGTGGACCCTCAGAAGTTGGGGAGGGGAGTCAGATTAGTTGAGTAGCACTTCATGTGAAGATGAGACTAGCACTGTATTTTGAATGATCTTTGTTCTCACAGGTGCACTAAGGCCCTTTATTACAGCAGCGTGGAGGCACTGGAAGCTATGTCTGACCAGGAGTTAGAGGAACTTTTTAGACAAGCTCCTTCAGCTGAATTGATGCTTGAACCCGGAATGAATGTTCTTGACTTGTGTCGCAAAGCAAATGCCATTCCAGATGGACCTAGTGGGTATGTTGTCATCTGTGCTTTTCATAATACCTCATGTGTAAACAGGTTGCAGTGGTATGCTTTCAGAAGTTAAACAAAAGATCAGGACAGCCGAATCAAGTAGAAACAGGCCTGCGATCTACATACCAGCATTAAGGAAAAGGGAAGCAGGCACAGCCTCATTCCATTTTGAAGTGAGAGTAGAATAATGCAGTGTGCCGTACCTTAGCTGTAAAATCTACACCTGATGAAGGGACAGCCTAAGGCAACAGACTCAGTTTCCTTATACCTCTCAGAAAGAATGGGAGTGGTAGAGCCTAAGGTTAATTTCAGTCACTCTTGACCTGGACTGAAAGTGCAAGAGAAATAAAATTTATTCAATTATGGCTCCAGTGAAAAAACCCTTAACTGAACTTAACAGCAATAAATACCTGCTACTTGCAATTACCAGCTGTTGTTTTTGTTTTCTTTTTCAAGGTACCAGAAAATTACAAATGGTGGAGTTTCAATAAATGGGATTCGAGTAACTAATCCTGAGGCTGTTCTTATTCTCGGACAGCATATTCTCAAGAACGGAGTATCATTGCTTAGGATTGGAAAGAAAAACTACTACATTATAAAATGGCTTCAGTTGTGACAACAGAGTATCTCTTGAAAACAACAGATCATTTTGACTCTGTTGCTCGAAGATGTACTTGAAGATGTTTCTATACTGTGCATTACTACGCAGCTCACAAACTGCCCAATACTACAGTTTCATTTTCAAAATACACCAACAGAGTTCAAATAAAGGCAGCTAAGTTGTACCACTGAAGAGATTTTTGTAGATACTCTGCCTTATTTAAAGCACCATTCATAAGAAGATATGCACAAGAAGATGAAAAGATTAATTTCAAAGTCCAAAGATGGAGATTATCTTCCCCCCTTTAACAACCGTCTGTGTTGTAGAACAGTGGCCAGGTACTCCACAGTACAAGCCACGGCAAGATGAGCAAAAGCATACTCAAAACCACTACTTCTTACAGAGGATGTACGCTGCTGTCCAGTTTGATGTCATCCTAACAGAGAAACCTGCGTAAGTGGGTAAGGACAACCAACCTAGGATCAGTATTTTTTTTTTTCTCTGAACAGGTTTGCTTTGAAGGAAGACTCACAATAAATGAGTAGAATGATTAAGCTCTAAAACGTCAGCTTCTTATTGGTTATGTATGGGGGCATGTTGCAGAAAAGCTTTCCAGCCTTAATGTGGTAATACAGAGCAAATTCATTTTTGAAATTAAAGGCTTTATACTCTCTTATTAAGCTTAAATCAACCTGTCAAATCCCTTTTATGCCTTCTGTGCATTTAGCATGACTTACAATGTGAGTGACACTCATTCCGCATTCCTGGATGCATCTGTGCTGTCTAGAATTTTTGTTGACGGTATATCCTGGCCCTCGTTCTGCAGGCTCTACGGTCTGTTGCAAGATAGTATATTATTCCAGAAGATTTGAAGCATGTACATGAAAGCTTTTAACTTGAGATGCCTAGGAGTAGTGGGCAAACAACAGCACAAGGGTATGTGTACCAGGATACACATAAGGGAAGCTATAGTGATTTTGCAATTAAAAAAAAAAAGGTCATATCCTTTAGATAGGGCAACATGCAAAAGCAGCACATCCTCATGAAAGAGCAGCAAGTGATCCTACTGCTTACGGCCTAGCCAACGCTTAGGATCATAGCTTCCTCATTGTCTTGTAAAGACAGCATGAAAGTGAGAATGTACTATGAGAGTTGGTAGAATAGCAACATCTACATTTAAAGGTAGTATTGCTTTATTGCTCGGAGACACCACTGCCTCTTTTTATTACTAGCCACTACAGCTGCTTACACACCTGGAATCCAATAATCAGAGTACACCACCTTGCTAAAGTCCCTTCCCCTGGTGGGGTTTCAGATTGGGTTGTTTAGGCAATATAGGTACCACAGTACTTACAGCCAGGTCACCTGAACAACAGCAAAACCAACGTGGTAACTAAGATTATTTGTAGTACAAGCCCATATTTGAATTACTTGGAACTGGGTATTTGCGTGCTACAATACAGTGATGTAGCTCAGAACTTTTTTATTAAGGGACCCTCCCTACCCGAGTACAAACACATACAAAACCCTCGGTCCAATTCATGAAGTGATTGATTGCTTTGGGCCTGTGGCTGCAGAACTGTTTTCAAGATTTAGGGTAATCCTCACTCTTAGGTCAAGGGGAATCGTTTCTTAGTCCGTGAAACTCCTGAACAATACAGTTTTGCAGTCCCAGCAGCCACAAGGGGAGAGGCCTTAATCTTAGCTACCTGAATGTGGCAACTCATCACCATCTCTTATGTTGTTAGAATAACTCATATTATTTCAGCTGGTTTAAAGCCACCCAGCCTAAGAGAAGAATGGGGAAATTTTAAGAAAGGTTAACAAGTCTAAAGAATCTAGATATTCTACAGTTGGGTGGGGAGTTTCTGTTGGACTGTTTAGGTGGATTGTTTATTGGTTTTGGTTTTTTGGGGTTTTTTTTTATTTGATCAACATGATGTTGGCTTTATTTCCCCTGTCAATCAAGATTTCAATAATAATAAATTATAGTGGCTTGCTACTTATACATCAGTTTCTTCAGATTATTAAACTGTAATAGGGTAGCATTTTCAGTAGCTCACCATGGAGTTATTAGTACTAATTTCAGTTTCTAGATCCCACTTGCCTGTTTGATAATGAGCCCTCTCTGTCCTAATGTCTGTTATATATAAAGAAAAATAAAAAGTAGTTGAGTCATTCCTACCTTAAAAAAAAGCTCTAAATATCCTGCTAGATCTCAGGACAAGATTGTGTGACTTGTTACTTTGCCTTAAGCTGCAGTAATGATCAGAGCTATCCTAAAGAAAGCAAATGGAGGAAAAAAAAAATCACAACTTTGATGTGAAAGCATAGAAAGTTAAGTTAATCCATTTAAAATAGCCACCTTGTTCCTTCTACTGAAACATGCACCTGGAAACAATTACACCAGTACACACCCATGTTAGCCTCCAGAGAAATACAACAGCTCAGATTTGACAGTTACTTTCTGGTTGCAGGAAATGAACTCCTAGGAGTAGAGGAAGTCATGTTTCGTGTCTGATGTCTCCTGCCTTTGTTCCTTCATCTCCGAATGGTGCAGATACACATATATCCACAAATTTCAGCTTTTTTTAAAAAGCATCAGTACCCACTTTCATCAAGTATTAAAAGGATTTTATTATTTATTTTTATAAATACAAAATAAAAAAGGGAATTAAATTCTTTGCATACAAGGTTTTTAATAAGATCCATAAACTCCCAAGAAATTTATTCTGTGCTTCCTTTTGACCAACTCCTAGCAATCCAAACCTTTCCCTGACTCTTTCCAAAGAAACAACCGGACTCAACCACTACATGTCATGACTATACAGCGTATCACAACTCAGCATTTGAACACATAGGCCGAGAATGAAGCATGACCGAATAATTAAGCATTCTTTCTTAGCCTGGTCTCGTTTCCCACGTACCCCAAAACAGGTATGTTCAGGTAATCAGAGTCATAGGTTGTTCCAATGTAAATAAGTAGAAACTAATATTAAAGTGTTTAACATGTCTATAAATGTGTGATTTGGAAGTGCAAGAAGAAAAGTAGTTATTTGGGCCAGATGTTAAAAAACACAACAAAACCATTGTACAGCATCTAGTGACAGCAAAAACTATTGCCATTATCCTGACAGCTAGCAATGAAGAGGTAAAAGGGCAGGGCTTGCAGCAAGTAAACTAAAAGGAAGCTACCAAAACATAAAAAAACCCCTTCATCACTAGATTAAACAGTGTCACTAGTTGGCCATAAAACCATACTCTGGTGGTCTACCTGTTTTTCTCTTAAGCTTTGAAGTATTAATAATCTGCTTTCACCTCAAAGTACACTGGCAACAAGTTAAAAAGTAGATGCATTTGAGTTCTTCAGTATCTACAGAAAACACCAGCTAGCAAGCTGCTCTCATAGCTAAAGAATCTAACTCTGGGGAAAAAAACCCCAAAAACCTCAAGATAATTCAGTTCAACAGGGGCACAACAGACTGGCAGGTTGTTTCCCCTGCTGTATTCCATAAAGTTTGCAATATCCAATCTGGCATCTTTCAAAGTCAATCTTCCATAAAGCATAGGGTGAAGGCAAGTTTTACGTAACTTTTGTTATGTTTACTTCAGAATTCAAAAGCACACAGACACCCCCCCTTACCAATCAATTCTGGTAAGTGAAATTTGAAGCTGACTACTAAAAAACTTAAGTAATTTATTGACAAACTGTTCACACAGGGATACTATGTTTTATTTACAGTAGTACCACACATAGGTCAGGTATTAATGTCAAACATTTGCTCATCTAAAACTTAGCTACAGTGGTTATTCTTCCTCATGATTGTGTGTTTCACTGGATAGCAAGTTATTTTAAGTTAACTGAAATCTGTGCATTGATGACAAAAGTATGTCTAGTTTAAATTAAATAAGGTGGACTAGAAGACATTTGTAAACCATCAGTCTAACCTGGGTATTTTTCAATTGCTGCCTTCATTATGTTTTTTTCATAGTTTCCCCATAATTTCTTTTAATGGTGAGAGTAATGGCAGCATTTTAAGTATTTTAGTTCAACTCCAGACTGTTTAAAAACCATTAATAGCCATCAGCAGCCTACTATTACTTACGCAACTATACAAGGAGTTGCAGGAGGGCAAGTGCAAACATACATAAGGCTGTACAAATATAGGTAGTTATACTATTAACTTGTAAGACCATATAGGTCCTCCCATCTGAACTACACGTCAGTTCAAAACTGTTTCTAGGATAATTAATTTTGTGTATTGTCTGTTTATTAAATAACAGGATTGTTACAGCATGGATTTTTAAAGACTTGCATTAAGGATTACAAATCAAGGTCATTTCTTGGCACTGAAAACATTATCAAATTGAAAATTTTTGTGAAGTTTAAACAAGTCATAACATTTCAGAAAACAAATTAACACTGTGGAAATTTCACATGACATTTACAGAGCCAGTTATCACTTGCAGGAATTTCTTCAATAAATGGAACTGATTTGCTTTATGCAGCATTTTACAACTTCACGAGTCAGAATATTTCTTTACAAGAGACTGTTGACTGAACTTGGGCAGTTGAAAGCTTAGGTAGCGGTTCACTTATGGACAGGTCTACCTCATTGAAAACATACTTAGATGTCAAAAGTAAAAGGGAGAGAGAGGCATCAGGTGAATCCCAACTAGAAATGTAATGCTTTTGACAAAACTATTAAAAGCTTTCACTATTCACCAAAATTGATTTGAAAAGTGGCTTGCACTTCACTACAGTCACATTCTTAAATCTGAGAACTACCATCCTTGGATACAATGCAGGAAGCAAAAATTACTTCCTTTGTGTTCGTTACATGTAATGAATACATCACGACTTTTTAGGCTGTTTAAAAATACAGAGTATGTTACTGTGTTCTGCATGAATTATTTCAGATCACGCATAAAGTACCCAAAAGTTGCATCTGTGTCAGACTTAACTCCTTGTGCTTATATTGGTGCCAAACTGAAGATTACCATGAGAAAAATACATTTTTTAAACAGACCTTCTTGTATACTGAGTTCTTAACAGTTTTTAAATTCTCAATCTTTAGCAGCTTACAAAAGGACTTCCATTTCTGTTAACTGATGAAATAGGGAAGGAACTGACTACGGTAATAAAAACTTCACTATATTGGCCCAATATCGTAAAAGCAAGCCACGGATGTTAACAACAGTGTCCTATTTTTCATGCACGTTGTGTTAAAGATAAAATATCAGCAACATCGTAGTAAACATTCTTACTTTATACAGAAAAGTGAATCTGCTTGAAAAGTACATGCAAGTGCACTGGCAAGAGTTTAAATAAATTTTTATTCATAAAAATCAAAATGTTTACTTTTTAAAGGCTAGTGTGATCAATATTTATTTGTATGAATTATAACCAGAAGCAAATAACTCATTAACTTAATTTCCAACCTAAAATTTCCTTCCTGTAGGATTGTCCTCAAAAAAAAAAAAAAAAGAAGAAAAAAAAGAAAAAAAACAAACCCAAGAAAAAAGCTACTTACAGCACAGTAAAATTTCCTCAAAAGTAACTTTAATCTCTGGTATAAATATTCCAATCCCACAGACTTTCTTTCATACTGTCATACATTCCAAAACTTGGAAGAAGTTGTGGGGATCCCCTTCTCCCTGGCCAACTTAATCTGTTTAAAATAAATGCTTACTGTCCCGTTACAGTTTTGAAATCCGTTTTTATTTTTCAATTCTGCCAGAACAAATTTACTATCAGATGGTCCAGGGGCTTGGTCCCGGGTGGGGGGAGGAAGGGGAAGATGTTCCTGTACCTGATTATAAGCCCCAACATTTATACACAAGCTCCAGTGCACATGAATAACTTTGCGCCCACTTTTTAGTAGGCTGCTATTGTTCGCAAGCTCCAGGCTAATTCTTCCTACATGATACTCCATCAAATGAAGTTCAAAGTTTTGTCCACGGTTTTAACATCTGGGGAAAAAAATGGGGACACACATACATAGTATTACGGTAGACATCTCTACTGTGCTATAAAATTGATACCTCCATCTGTCACAGTGCATGCAATATATTCATGAAAGAAAATACTCGGTGCTCTCTTCTCTTCACAGTATTTAAACTTCTATTGTAAAAGCAGCTTAAAACTATGCCACAAGACTACACCGTCCATCTTAACCACAGGCAACCTGTTTAGCAAGTCAGGCACTGGAACTTTAATGTTTTTTCCCCAAGTTCAAATGAGACTGTCACTGAGACAGTAGACTTGGTCTGCTTTAATTTGCACCAGAAAGCTGGTAAGGAAACATTTAGAGCCATTTATTATGTGGATTAAATATGACTTATTTTGCAAAATACAGCATATTTTTCTGTTTGCAAATCAAACCAACTGTCTTTACATGAGCAGATTTACACAGTTGCAGTACACAGATAAGAGTTCATAAATAAAAATTCTACTCCGTATACCATGCCTAGCAATTTTCAAGTCAATTTAACCTCCAATGCATATAAATAGTGTGGCTGGTACAGTCTTCACCAAAGATGCGTCTCGCGAATCTCTGCAATGATCTGACTGGCTCGCTGCAAGGCCTGCGCACAGAAAGAAAAGCCCAAGTTGACATGGACACGTCACAAACACACTGTCATACAGATGTACACAGGTCATCGTGAGTGAGTCCCAGCGTTCCCAGTGTTCGTATTACAGGGTACTGTCTAGATACACCAGCCATCGGTCTGTAGGCTCCGGGTGAAGCGTACACATGAACGGCAATGCTTTAAGCTTAACCCCCCAAAAGAGCACTGCTGAACATTATAAAGCTAAAGCAAATTATTAAAAGCAAATGTATAATTGAAAATAGCACCAGATTAGGGCTTCTGCTTTATGCCCAAAATATAGTTTAATTCACCTCTTCCCAACTACTCAATATACATAATACTTTCTGGTCACATACTGCTTTAATTCCTGTAGCAGAGAGAAGTAATACACTAGCATACTCCTAAAAAGCAGCAAAGAAAAAAGGCAAGCAAGGCTTCAAAAAAAAAAAAATCACATTTATATGGTTTCAATTTAATTAACTACTCCCATGAGCTCCTGATCTTGTTAATACCTTTAGCATGTCAGCTGCCTCTTTTCTGCGCTGTGCCATGTCCTCAGATTCTGTCAGAAGGTCATCCAACAACAAGGATTTATACAGCTGGCCTACCAGCTCACTCTGAAGAGTGTCTTTCACGTGGTTCACCAGAAAATGCATCACTGCCTTTGGCACACTGCAAGGACATAAAGATTGTTTCTTCAGAAAGAATTATTCAAAACCAGGTCTGTTCTAGATTGAATGTACAGTGTGAGCAAGTGGCTACACACAACCTTGGCTCAAACTACCAGGAATTTACCACTACCATAAATAAAAATTCACTCTTTCAAGTAAATGCAGTATCTTATGCAATTTAAGAGCTGTCAAATTTCTTCCAAATAGGATAGCTGCATTGTAAAGAATATGAAAAAATATATATAGTGTAAAAAAGAAAATAAAAATATATTACTTTGCTCACTAGAGATCAACCTGAGTCTCCACTGTGCTAGGCATGACAAAAATCCAAGTATTTCAACCCTAGAATCAATCTTAATGTGTGAATGAGAAAGGAAAGAGGCAAATGAAGTCATATATCCAATCTTACTTAGCAGAAGAACTGAAAACAGGATCACTGTTCAAACACCAGGGTGCATTATCTCTGATAGCGTAATGTGAGAGCAATTTAAAACTGCAAATGGAGTTTAAGTTTGAAAAATGTATTTGTATGGAATGGAGGCAGGCAGCAGCCATTGAGAATTGAGAACAATCCATCAGAAAGACACTACAGAATCTGTAGAGCAACATTTTTCAGCTCTATGTAAGGCTAAAACACCTGATAGAAACCACTGTCTTAGCTCTGATCTCCATGCCGCTAAGCTTCCTGAAAAATATTCCAAGTATTGAATCTAGCTAAATCTGATTTTCTTTAGGGCTTAAGATATGTATAGCAGTACTCTTTGGAAAAAGTGAGGGGAAAATAGTTACATGAGATTTGACAAAATCACATCATCATGCTAACACAGTACCAAAATCTGGGGATATAAACACTGGATCAAAAATTGATCAGATTCAGAGTAACAGTAACTGACAATAAGAATACTGATGGTCATTCCCAACTGAGAAATAAAACACATTAGTTTAGAACAACCTTGTTGGTGTAATTTTTAGCAGCAGTATTTTGCAACTAGAGCTGACTGGGAGTTGACATATAATCAGTACTGACTCATTAAGTAGTGACCACATCACTCATCTCATGTGCCCACAGCCCTAAATCTACATCAAGGCAGATCAAGAATTTTTGCTTAGAGTGCTGCAACTGTCACTGCAGAATTAACTTGACAAGGACCATGCAAGTCATGATCAACCAAGATCCATCAACATATCTGAGCTTTTGGAATCACACTCCCAAGTTCAGCTGGGAATTTTCCCACTACGTTAGTACTCAATGAATTCAATTTACATCCTCCTTTCAAGCCAATACATTGCAAGTTCTGCCAAAAGAAGAGCTTAAGAAAGAAGCCTAGAATACTTTGGAAGTCACCTGGCTAAGAGTGAAAGCAACACGAAACTCAGGTTCAAAGCTGGATGGTTTGGATGTGTACCCACACCTGTAAAAGCCTGAATTAGTTCTGCAAGTATGATATGGGATGGATGCGAGTACCATCTTTGAGAGTATTTCCTAAAAATATTTCTGAATTAGGTGAGGATTTCCAAATACATCAAATTTATAATGCTTGAGAGAGCATTTTTTTCCCCATCATGTATGCATATTTACTGCAAAGAATGTGAAGGGTTTGTTTAGAGTAACACTACTAACACCGCAGTGAAATTAAGCTGAACAAAGCAATTCCCTGCCATGAAATAATAACTATTATATTGAGGAGAGTATTAGTTTACTGGGGAGAATAAAACATTTATGACCTCACTCATCCACTCTAAATGCTGGTTTCTGGATTCCCCCATTTCTCCTAAAATTTCCCATATGTATGTATATAAATATGTATAAAAAGTTAGGTCTTTCTACAAAGACTTAAGCAAAGCAAAATTTTACATCATTCTTCATTACAAAAAAAACCCACAAACTATGACAATTTTTAAGCAAAACTTCCATGACATTTTCCACAGTTGCACACAGCAGAAACATCACTTCTATGCTATTTCTATCCTTATAGCTAAGTACTAGAAAACTTAGCCACAGTAGTTCCTATTCGACATTCCTGTTTGAAATAACAGGATGGCAAAGCTAAGTTCTGTCAGGGCTACACAGCACCTAGAGTTCATTCTGCTTATTTGCTGCAAATCATCCATCTGAATTGCAGTATTCTCCAGAAAAGGAGGCATCTCCCAAATAATTAAATCTTTTACTTCCTATAATATAGAAGTCGAACCATTAGAGAAAACAAGTGCTTCTTCAGGCTGATTAATTCTGTGAAGGGTCAAGTTTTACTGCTGCTGCCTCTTCTAAAAAAATAATCATATTTTCTCTCTGCTTACAAACATAAGACCATGATAAAATAACAAGATTATACACATGACTCTTGATATACCACAACATTTGCATGGCTTAAACATTTCTAGGAAGTTTTGTTTTACCTGTCCTGAATGTTCTTCCTGACAATAAGGAAGTAAGATTTAATAAGTCGTTCAATCACTTCACAATCTCGTTGCTCACGGGCAGAAAGTTTGCGTGCAACAGGTACAGGCTATGTAAAAAAATAAAAACCTCAGTTTACCAATTCTGCTCATTTGCATACGTAAATAAAACTCAAACTGTGGAGTCTAAAATAAACTAGTGCTCTTTTAGTCTGATAGTTTGATAGATGTTTGGTTGATTGAAAGCTCAACATGAGCTAGCAATTTGCGCTTGCAGCCCAGAAAGCCAACCGTATCCTGGGCTGCATCAAGAGGTGTGACCAGCAGGTCGAGAGAGGTGATTCTGCCTCTCCACTCTGCTCTCGTGAGACTCCACCTGGAGTACTGCGTCCAGCTCTGGGGCCCCCAACATAAGAAGGGCATGCGAGTCCAGAGGAGGGCCATGGAGATGATCAGAGGGCTTCAAGCACCTCTCTGGTGAGGACAGGCTGAAAGAGTTGGGGTTGTTCAGCCTGGAGAAGAGAAAGCTCCAGGGAGACCTTATAGCAGCCTTCCAATACCTAAAGGGGGCCCTAAAGGAAAGCTGGAGAGGGACTGTTTACAATGGCATGGAGTGGTAGGACAAGCGATAATGGCCTTAAGCTGAAGGATAGTAGATTTACATTAGATACAAGGAAAAAAGTCTTCACTGTGAGGGTGGTGAGGCACTGGATCAGGTTGCCCAGAGAAGTTGTGGATGTCCCATCCCTGGAAATTTTCAAGGCCAGGTTGGATGGGGCTTTGGAGCAACCTGGTCTAGTGGAGAGTGTCCCTGCCCATGGCAAGGGGGTTGGAACCAGATGACCTTTGAGGTCCCTTCCAACCCAAACCATTCTATGACTCTATGTAACCTGTCTTGCAACAAACCACTAATTCTTCAGAAATAAAAATAGAGACATCAAAAATCCAGATATGTGAAACAAAAGGTCAGAGAGCACCACTACTAAATTTTTTTTAAGAGCTCCCTAAAGGAACTAAGCTGTCCAAACACTTCAAGCATCTCCATCTATTTTTAATGTAAGCAGTTTTTGTCTTTAATGATTCTTTTCCTCTAATATAAAAAATGCCAGCTTCAGAAAAAAAAGAGCAGGAATTGAGACATGAGCTGAGATTTGTTTCTGTACAAAGAGCGATCTAGACAAGGAGTTCACTTGCACAGGGATTTGTGGAAGCAAGCCAGTTATCCCAAATCATAGGCTGAAACTGGAATGGAGAGGGAAATGAAGGATTGGGCAAGCAGGAAAGCAGAAGAGACTGGCTAGAGCTCCCCATCCCTATAGTGGTAATAATTTACAAAAATACCATCTATTAGCAGCAAAGTTACAAGATCCAGAATTCAGATGTTTCCTGAGCCTGAATTACGAAGAGAAGGAATGTGTTTTTCATGACTCACCACATCTAACAGGTTTACAGCATGGCCTTTTTGAGGACTAGCAGGTAGGGCTGCAGCTGGCTTGGATTTTTCCTCTGCTGATACCTCTTCCGCTTTTGAGGGTTTCAGCATTCCTCTCCAGTTGCCTGTTCCAGGTTCCTGAGATGTATCTCCTGCTCCAGGAGCAGCCTGCACAAACAGCACAAAGAAACATTGGAGAGTTAGAACTGGGGCACTGCAAAGCAGTGTCTGATCAAATCTATTACTGAGCTGCAGGTAAGACTCACTAAAAATGAGCTTTTCATATGTATATTCCTTTCATTCTATTCTTCACATTCCCCACCCTTGTTCTCACTTTGCTGCTTACAGCTGACAAAGTATCAGTAAAATGAAAGCTTTTCAAAATCATATTCTTCCTAATAATGGTATGAAAATGCCTCAGAGATGCTCCCCAGCATTTTAAGGGTCTACAAATCACTTCTGAAATATGAAATGGTCTTCCTAAATCATTTGGCTTTTACTACTTTTACCATACATCCTTGGAGCAATACAATCTATACTATTAGGATGGTTCTGAAAGTATGTTTTGAAGGTCACCACAGTTCTGGCAAGACTTCAATTTAAATCCTTTGGTATTTTATTTAAATATAAACTGAAACTTCTTACAATAACAGCTAAAAAAATATGCACATTTATGTTTCCAGGTACCACAGCTATGAACATATTTGTCCTGCCAGACCTCAATTTAGAGAAGGCTTTTTTTTTTGGTACCAAAACAAAAAAAAGTCTCCATCCTCTGGAAATGAAGATCAGAGTTTCTGAGAAGTTCCAGACAAAGAATGACTCACTGATCTCCTGAGAAAAGGACATAACTCTTAAATAACTGGACACTTAAATAACACTGGACAAAAGAAATATTAGTAGATGGTATCCACTACACATTAAATTAGTATTAAAAAAGAGACAGTTTATTTTGATATGAAACAGTGGTAATTTTTATTTTGCACCTCTTCATAAGTCTAGTATCCATTATATTTACTACTGTGCTTTAAAATCTACTGCTGTTTGAAAAACATTCAAGGCTCTGAACTACAACTAATGTCTTTTTCAGATATAAGAGGAAATAAGCTAAATTTATCGATTGTGTTTACAATTAAAACACCACAGGCTATTCTTATGTCTACAAAAAGAGAAACGAAGCACAGCAAATACAATACCAGCACTTGCATACTAGGAGGAAACCCATCTAAGCTGTACATATCGGGAATTTTATTAAAATTGCACAACTGTTCAGAGGCACTGTAAAAAAATACACTATAAGAATACACTGTAAGAATTCAAATCAACCTCTGTAATAAGAGAACCATTGATGAGGAAAGTTCCATTACATTATTTCTGACTGCACGACAGCTATTCAAAATGGCAAAAATCCCTCTGCCGCTCTCACTCAGTATTACTGTGGAGCCTGCTCTATCTCCAAAGTAGTTTCAGAAACAAAGCTACATTCTTTCACTAGAGAAACTGTGTTGAGTATGTAACACCTAATAGAGGACAGGTTTTCCCAGACAGAAATTAAACCAACTTTGGCAGCTTCCTGCAACTTAAGTCACAACTGTATCCTCACAGTAGCTCTTGATTTCCAGGTTTGCAGCATGTAAGAACTTCTTAAACTCCAATGAAAATAATAGTTAAAATTCTCCTACTGACTAGATTTTGACTCTACTTTGTTCAGGGCAAAAATGGCAGCTTTGCACTAGAAGCTGAATGCGCATATGCAATGAAGCAGAAAGCCCGAGTCCTCTTGGCACTCCTAATACACAAACTTGTGGCTACCCATCTTTTCTAACTCTAAGTGAAAGCAATTAACAAAAAAGTCTTTACAGTAATGCACTGTTATTTTAACATGAGAGACAGCACACCTGAAGTGTAAAAAACCACTGCAGACCACATTTCACAAATAGAAGTAAACCAGGGATTGAACGATTATGTGAAACAACGAAAAGGAGGTTCATATAACCTATAAAGATTCCCTGCAGGAAGCAGGAAACTCACATTTTAAGCTTATCTTCTGTCCTCCTTCTTTAACTGTCAACACATTAAAAACATGCAGTTTAACAACCATGCTGAACACTTTTGATTACAATACTGTTGCACCAAACAATCTATTGACTACAGTTTGAGGCAAATTATGCTGCATACTTGCACCACAATATATTATAACCAAGAGTTCAAACAGAAAACAGTGACTTTGCCACCTAATGGCCCATCTTTGCCTGCCACTGCACATACTACAATCAGTAATGCCAAGTAGTTTATACTCTGTAGGGCATACTGCATCAGTGACAGAGCACTAAATACAAACTGCTTTCTGTACTATCTGCGGTGCACCACAACAGAAATGTGCATGCAGTGCTTATAGGAAAAATCAAGACAGACCTTGCCATCAGCCTCAGCAGAAGCAGCAGTAACAGTCTCCTGGGAAGCAGGTGTCAATGCACCTGGAGCTTTAGTAGACTAAAGAAGGTAAAAAATGCAGGGAGGGGGGGGAAAAAAAATTCAACTGAAGACCACCAAATCTACCTAGCAAATTTCAAACATTTTTACCTATTAGCATCTTTAAAAAAAAATCTAGAAAACAAGAGATTTTGAATTTGCAAGCAACACAGTAATATAAGCAGAAAAGGAAAAAAAAGCATCTCCAAGAGAGTTAAGAGACTTTTGGCTTCTCTGGCCTTCAATTTCATTTCAGCTCCTATACTGATGATATAAATACAAATCAATAAAAAGAAGGGTCAAACAGCACTGAAAGTAATCTCTAGATAGCTGCCTTAAATACCCAGTTTATCCATCAGCTGGCTTCTACTGATTAGAGGCAGTAATATTAGATCCATTCTGGGACTTTTTAAAAAGTCACACTTTTTAAGCTAACAAACTTTGAAGTGATTTCCATCAGCTGCAGTAACTCCTGTTACAACCTGTGAGGAGCTTAAACTATATTCTATATATTTGGATTCTAAATACTTCAAGTAATATTAAATACCTAGCTGTCTAAAATTCCAGCTGATTGTCAGTCCATTCATTTCTACAGCCAGGCAATGTTTTGCATGACACTTGGTTCTTCCACCCATGTACTCCCTTGTCACTGAACTAATCCCAAAACCTGGTAAAACTAAGCAAGCTCCAGAGACAGAACACATGACTGGATTACAATGATCAACTGAAAGTGTCACCTCCACCATCTTCTCCCAAAGAAAGCAAGACTGCAATGAACTGCAGTTGTAAGAGTGACTTAAGAAAATAAAATAAAAAACCGCCCCCCAAAAAAACCAACCAACTACCAAATCACTATGCTGGCACACTGAATATTTTAAATCACTTGTTTATCTTTTGAAATCAGTGTGTCTCAGCCATAAATTTAAGCATGCAGGTTCTGACTCCATCTTTAACATCTGAAGGCATTTTAATCCTTACCTCAGATGACATTCAAGTAATAAGAGTAATGGTAATGTAAATTTATAGACAAGTCTTCAGAAATCTCAGATTTAAAACCTGCCAAAAATTGCATCTTTGGAAGAAGAAAATAACATTTAATTTCTGTCTTACGAAATTGAATGGAAAAAGCCAATACCTTGAAGCTCCCAAGACTGTTACTAGGGCAGATCAAAGTCTCTAATAGTTAAGACTGGATCAAAGGAGAATACATTCAACTGTAAATGAATAAATAAATAAAAATATTTACTTACCTTGTCTCGTGACACAGCAGAAGGCAATTCCCGGGCTAACCTGTTACGCCTTTGTTCCTTTAAAAACAATCCAGCAAGACCTCAATTATGTATTACTCTCTATCAACACATATGCAAGATTCATATTTTACAGATGACTTACATTTTAGAGACAAACACTGGCAATTTCATCTCATCCAGTGTCATGTAGTCATACTATGATTGTGTTGGTTTTGCATGGCAAGGTTT